TATTATATTTCATATATATTATTCTAATAGTTCATATATATTATTATAATATTTCATATGTATTATTATAATATTTCATATATTCTTCTAATATTTCATATGTATTATTATAATATTTCATATATATTATTCTTATATTTCATATATATTATTATAATATTTCATATATATTATTATCGTATTTCATATATATTCTTCTAATATTTCATATATATTATTATTATATTTCATATATATTCTTCTAATACTTCATATATGTTATTATAATATTTCATATGTATTATTATAATATTTCATATATATTATTATTATATTTCATATATATTATTCTAATAGTTCATATATATTATTATCATATTTCATATATATTATTATAATATTTCATATATATTATTATTATATTTCATATATATTATTATCACATTTCATATATATTCTTCTAATATTTCATATATATTATTATAATATTTAATATATATTATTATTATAATATTTAATATATATTATTATAATATTTCATATATATTATTATTATATTTCATATATATTATTCTAATAGTTCATATATATTATTATCGTATTTCATATATATTCTTCTAATATTTCATATATATTATTATTATATTTCATATATATTATTCTAATACTTCATATATATTATTATCGAATTTCATATATATTCTTCTAATATTTCATATATATTATTATTATATTTCATATATATTCTTCTAATATTTCATATATATTATTATAATATTTCATATATATTCTTCTAATACTTCATATATGTTATTATAATATTTCATATATATTATTATAATATTTCATATATATTATTCTAATATTTCATATATATTATTATTTTATTTCATATATATTCTTCTAATACTTCATATATGTTATTATAATATTTCATATATATTATTATAATATTTCATATATATTATTATAATATTTCATATATATTATTATAATATTTCATATATATTATTCTTATATTTCATATATATTATTATTATATTTCATATATATTATTCTAATACTTCATATATATTCTTCTAATATTTCATATGTATTATTACAATATTTCATACATATTATTATAATATTTCATATATATTATTCTTATATTTCATACATATTATTATTATATTTCATATATATTATTCTAATACTTCATATATATTCTTCTAATATTTCATATGTATTATTACAATATTTCATACATATTATTATTATATTTCATATATATTATTCTAATACTTCATATATATTCTTCTAATATTTCATATGTATTATTCTAATATTTCATACATATTATTATAATATTTCATATATATTATTATAATATTTCATATATATTATTATAATATTTCATATATATTATTATTATATTTCATATATAGTATTCTAATACTTCAGATATATTCTTCTTATACTTCATATATATTATTATTATATTTCATATATATTATTCTTATATTTCATATATGTTATTATTATATTTCATATATATTATTATTATATTTCATATATATTATTCTTATATTTCATATATATTATTATTATATTTCATATATATTATTCT